GTTGCTGATGATGGCTATTTCATGTTAGCTTCTTAAAATAAATTATTAGTATATATCCAAGGAGTTTTCATCAGACTCAACTGGCTACCACAAAAGCAGCTTAACCCTGGATGACATTAAAATGAGTCCCTAAAAATTCTGTAACAGGAATGATTTAGAATCTGAGTAATTGCCTCTGTAATCTTAAGGATAAGAATTGAAAGAGAAACAGAAGAAAAACAACATGCCGTACCAAATTGTACACTAGTACTTGCAGGAGTTATATTGCTAGTGGCAATATAGAGAAGACGAGTCTTCCAGTTTTACAGAACTACACTGAGTTCTGTGTATACACGTGGTGTTTTCCGTGTTTAACATCTCATCTGGCTAACTCCTATTCAGACATGCCTGACCTAGTGGAGCATGCCTAAATTCTTAGTACTGGGGATGCTCAAGTGAGGGAATCATGAGTCCTAGAACAGCCTGAGTTACACAGCAAGAACCTGTCTCAAACAAACAACATATCCAGAGGCCATCTCAACCTTGATTTATTTTTCTCTTTTTTCCACCTTTTGTAAACCAGCTTCCCAACATCACCCTACTCTATCTACTCGTCCTGATTTTAGTTTCCTGCCTCATCTAAATAATCCCATAGCATTTATCTCATTAATAGTTCTTCAGTATTTATTCCTCTTGTTTTTTTCCACAAAGTAAACTCCTTTTGGAAAGTGCTTGTCATACTGCTTATCATGTAGAAGTCACTCAAAAAACGATTGATGAATGAATGGATGAATGAGTTAATGAGTGAGTAAATGAACAAAAATGAGCCTGTCTAGGAGTCTTTCTATAGTATCTCATGGTAAATTTGGAAAGGGCAGAACAGACAGTGGCAAATGTAAGATATAAAAGAAGACAAGGGAAGACTGTTTGGTGAACTTAAAATCTCCATTGCATGAACCTAAAAATTGTGTCATTTCATTGGACCGCTAGTGTATGTCCCAAGTTTGAATTTATGTTGTAGTTTTTGAAGTCAAGAATCACTTTGATTTAGCTTAAAAAAATAAGCTTTTAGGAATCTTTGAAGGATCATTTCTATAATCACTTTTCTATCTATTACATTTCCAGTTAACAAGGTTTATGAGAAACTTGACTTTATAAGTTAAAATGTCAAAACAGATAAAAGTGCTGTCAATTTTTCATGTTCTTTTCCAGGTATTATTTCATGCTTTTCTTTTCCTGTTCTGTTACTTTAATTTCTTTGTTCATTTTTAACAAGTTTCCTTGCAATTATAAACCAAAATGTAATGCTTTCACAGAGCTAGGGTATTTTTCACAGTGTTTCCTTATAATTTTAAACCAAACTGTCACACTTCCCCTTTCCCCATTATCTCATGCTCTTTTCATGCACTATGCTCTGAGGTTTATTGAAGTTAAGAAATGGGTAAAGTACACACTAGTTAACTAAGCATGGGATACATTGGTTGGCAGAATGTCAAAGGTCGAGGCAGGTGGGTGATGGCATAGTGGGGGAGGAGGAGACAGAGAAGTGGGGAAATTGTCAGTCTGCCAAATGATCAGAGACTGAGAAAATAAGAAGGGATCAATTTAGACATTGGGTCAGACCTTAGCAACCAAAGGACAAAAGTGAAAACTTTTTGCTAACCTGTTTTTGAACTTATATGTGGGAACTTCTACCTTAGAATAATTCTAGTTTGCAATATTTAAATACTTTAGTTTCAGTTTAAAATAACATAGAAGCAAAAGTGCATGTCAGGTATTGGCAGAATATACCGCTCTTTCTCACACCATTCCTGTGGGCAGTTTCACTACCTCTTGTCACCCACCGTAACACTTCTACCCATCAGATCGATTCTACCTGGGAATAACTTGTCTGCCAGAAATACTTCATCCTATTTTGGTCCTCATCATCATCCATTTCTACCCTCCCCACTAAAATTACTGCAGGGAACTTATAAGATTACAAAATCCACAGTAAATTAGGGAGAATGAGACTAAATTTAACTATCTTAAAAGTATTTGTCCAAAGTATTTGTTGTTCTGTATAAATTAAGGATTAGTTGAATTTGTGCTAATACCAACGTATAAGATATTTTAGGAGTGGGAGGAGGGAAGACATTGAGGACAAAGGGACATTTCACAGTTCCAATCCTACCACACAGGTAAGTACCATACTACAATCTGAAAATGTGGGGGGCTTGGAGAGAGGTGAGTAGGGAAGGAAGGAATTTATCTATCATACTGAAACCCAAACAAAATTTGGATGATAAGCCACTATCGTGCATTTTCTGGATTACACAGTGATGCATAATACTCACCTTTACCTTTAAAGAGCAATTGTTATGATTTATAATTAATTATTATAATATGTCATCATTTTTCCATATTAAGCGTATGTAAAGTTTGAAATTATCTTGTGTTTGAAACAATGTAATTAATGTATAACAAAACTTTCCTTTCTCTGATTGCAATGGAATCCCTCAATCTTTCAACTACAGTGGAACTACCAGGCCTCAAAAACATTTTCTAAGCCTCCAGAATTAGAAAGCATATACCTCCCTAAGCGACATAGCCAGTATTTACTTGGACTTGTTTCAGTGCAGCTTTAACTTGGTCACTAATCATCTGGGCCAAGGCTTCATTTCATGCAGTATTGAATTGTTAGAACTTAAAACTAAAATATCTACTTGAACAGCTTGGTTATAATGCGTTCCAAAAAGCTGAAATGGCATGGCTGGACTGAGGAATTATTATTTTACACTTTGATCTAATTTTTAATAACCAAGATCTTTTGTAAGGAGCAAGCAATTAATGCTCTCCGTAACTAAGGATATGGATGCAGACAATGCCTCAGAAAGGTAGTATGTGGTCCCTATTATAGTAAAAAAGGAGAACAAACAGAAAGCTCAGTTTATAAATTCTTCCTGTTCTTTGGCACTGAATATTTTTTTGAGGAATGCTTATTTTCATTAAGGCAAAAAAGTTATGAAATGCTAAATTTTGTGTCCAGTTGAGTAGAGCAGATTGTAAGGATATTGAAAACCATCCTTTCTCAATTTTCCAACTTGGTATTCAATGTCCAGTGTGGGAAATGAGAACAGAAGCAGGTACTAAAGTATCCATGGCTGTTTTTAGCTGATCAAGGCTATTCTGCTCTGGACAATTTCTGCCAGATATGATATGCAATGACGGGGGATTATGGACATTTTAAAGTCATGCTGCTGAGACCACTTGCTGAGCAAACAATGAACTAGGATCCCTACACACACTGAAAGTTATAATTCTTCTACTGGCTTGCTCATTCGATGTGCTTTCATAAATATTATGAGAATGCCATATGCAATACTTTGTATACTGAAATTGCGTTTCGTCTGTTAGGAATAGCCAGCTATATTGCCATTTTCACTGAAACATGTTTGGTGGTACTACCCAATTTACCAGCAGAGGGGATCATACACACATACACACACACACTGAAAATAAAACTCAAGTGAAATAAGCCAGCTAGAATGAATTATATAAATGAGGAATTTAAATTGCAGTTATTAACTATTATGAATACTTTGCAGCACTTTAATTTTAATAATATTTCAAATTATTAGTTTAAACAGCTTCACTTAACTTGGGTCAATTCTTAATTTTGCAAAATAAGGTAGAAATAAAACAAAGATGATATATGCTTTCTACATAAAACCTCAGCACACAGTCTGTAAATAGTACGACATTAAAAAGCATTTTCCCAAATCAGGAAAAAAGAATTATTTAGGGAAAAGAAAAAGATCTTTACTATGACTGGTAATATGAAGATTGTCTTGGAACTTTTTGCCAATTTAATAAGATTTCTTTTTAAAAAATACTAATTATAATTTTTATGTGTGCAAGAAAGTGATTGTCTACCTAGTTTTAAAAGTGTCTGGATACAGACTTATAAGCCAATTAGCAAACAAAACCGTATCAGAAAATATAATTGATAAAAGCTGAATAATTCAAAAAACATCAAAAACATTTAAATATTTTTTTTAAAAAAACTAAAAGCTAAAACTGAAAAGACAAATCTGCTTTATTTTATAGATTGGAAGTTCCTCAAGGGCAGAGATTCTGTGTCATGAGCTAATATTCTTTAGTGCCTGGAGGCTATGTAGCAAGCATGCCATGAAAATTTGTTGGCAAAGTGAAAAGTTTGGGGAGATTATGAATGGTATGTTTGTCACTTAGTATAAACATTAATCAAATATATATCACATAACTAGTTATCTGTCATGAATTAGAAAACTCAACTTCTGAGAATAAATTTCTTAATCTCTTGAGAAGCACCAACAAAATTAAATTAAATTATAAATTTTGAATTTTTTTTAATGATACCAGAAAAAAACCTCTAACACTTGCATTCATAAATTCAAAAGCCTGTTCTCAGGAGAGAATATATCTTCTATGTAACCATAGGAAAAAAGAAACCAATGGGGAAGAGTTAAATCTTCCAAATATTGTTTATTCAAATGTGTATCAAATTTACACAGTCTTTCCATTATAATACAACTCATGTTTTCAGTAGAGTTTTAAGGCCATGTCAATATCAGTTGTTAGTGATAAATGACTTTTTAAGATGATTAAAGTTATATCTGAATTACATCCAATCACTCTGATTCAAAGGCTTTTATTCTCTATATGGATTCACACACTTCTTTCTACTTTCACATAAAGCATTTTGGTGAAACTTCTAAGCAAAAAAGGGGAGTTATATTTTTATGGTAATTCCAAGGTCAATGACTATGTCCAATTATAGTTTTCAGAAATAAAATTATGAAGGGTAATTATATATGCTAGTCAAATAAGCTACTTGCATTCTTTAGACTTAATGTCAAAAGCCACCCAGACAGTAAGCTACAGAATAATAATTAAATCACATTTTCAAGACTAAGTTTTAATTATCTTTGAGAAAAACACTATCCACGAATGTTTCATAATGTAGTTAGAGAGGGAGAAGTTTTCTCTTTTAATCTTACCTTCTGCCACACAAAGAGTCCATAATGTAAAACAAATAATCGTCACCAGCAGTCTCATGTTTTGGATCTTTTAGGAGTACATTTACTAGCAGAGATCCTTACAGAGTCCAGTTCTCCACTGCTAAAAGTTGTGACCAGTTCAGCGAAGTACTTGTTTCAAAAGGAAGTTGACACATAGTTTAGAAAACAGGGGTTTCTAGATACTCCACCCCGCCCCCCAGACACTTCTGCAGAGTAAACGGAAAAACATTCAACCACAAGCCCCAGCAGCTTCAGAGCTGGATCCCAGTTCTCCCTGTCCTCCCAGTGAACTTTAAAGCTGTGTGGGACCTGTCAACCCCGGCTGGCTTCCTGTGAAATAAGTTCAGGCTTCTTGGAATTTGCAGAGACAGCCCTTGAGAGCCTCTGCATTTCATAAACCTTCCAGTTACTCAAACTGGGCTCTATTGTGTGCAACCACAGAACAGAAAATAACAGAAGCTCTTTTAAAAACCATTTACAAAACTTCGATGTAGACAATGTTTTCTCAATAGCACACAGATGACTTAAGTATAACTTTGTCAAGAGTGTAATGCTGGCAGATTTGGGGGGTTAAGCTTTCCAGCAATTCATGAAATTAGTCTTTTAAGGACTTTGTGCATGTATAGAAGCAATGGTCTCACATCTCATTTTAGGTAAGTGAGTTTAATAATTCAAAAATAAAGAAATCAAAATGCTGAATTTTTTTAAACTTTGTACTGCAGTTATAAAAAATGGTATCAGAAGATTTTTAATATACATGAAGAGAATAGAAGCAAAAGGTTTATTGAACATTGAGAAGGAGAACTTACCATGATGTCACAACCAAGGTCAAATCATTGACCATTTCTATCTTCCAGAAAACCTCGATACTTCATTTCACTAGATTCTCCCTCTGTCCCTTCTTCCACCCCACACACAGCAGTGACCTCTATCCACATCTAAGAAAATATAATATGTTTACCTGTTTGTTTGTCCTTTACCTAAATGGACAAAAAGCTATTTACTCCTGTGTTTAGAGTCCTTCCCTAAGAACTATGTTTGAGATATTCAACCACATTAATGGACATTCTGTCTGTTAATTCTTAATTTTATGTACTATACCATTATTTGAAAATGGCATTTTTTTCATCATCTGTGCACTTATTAATGGAGGTTTGGATAGATTCTAATTTGTATCTAACATAAAAAGTGCTGATATGACCATGGATTCATGGATTTTGGTGAGCATGTGTCCACATTTCTACTGAGTATACAGAAAGGAGTGTAATATTAGAACGTATTATTATGGTCAGGTGTAGTCAACATCACTAGACAGTTTTTCAAATGGGTTATAATACATGGTATTCCCATTAGCAGTGAATGAGTTGCTTCACAGACTCAATTACACCTGATTATTTCAATCTGTGCAGTTTTAGTCTTTCTGGTGAGCATAGAGCAACAATTTTCTGTAATTTTAATGTGAATTTTCCTGATGACTAATGAAGTTGAATAACTTTCATACAGTAATTAGTCACTTAGATACCCTCTTGGTTTAAGTGCCTCTGGAAGTCACCTGAATGATTTTTTTCTAATAGGTCATCTGTCTTATTTTGTTGTAAGAATTCTTTATATTTTCTAGATATGAGAGAATATTTTCTGACATTTGTAGTGCAAATACTTTTGCTCAGTCCATGAATTGCATTTTCACTCCTATGTCTTTTGATGAACAAAACTTATTAGTTTTAATATGGAAAATCATGAACTTTTTCTGCTATGAGTAGTGCATTTTGTGATCTTCTTAAGGAAGCCTTACCTATACTCAGAACATAATGCTTTTCTTCTAAAAGAATTATTTTCTCTTTCACACTTAAGACTTTTGGTACACTTGGAATTGACTTTTGTGCATGGTGTAATAATGGACTCCTGACACATTTTTTAAAATATGGGTGTCCAATTTTTGAGCCCTGCTTGCTGAATATCATTCTATTCTGCTGCACTGCTCTGCTGGTATTCTCACCAGATAACTATAGACATGAGTCTGTCACCAAGTGCCTCACATTATAGTAGCTGGAGTCTTTCTTCCTCTTACAAAATTTCTCAAATGTCCATTCATGGGAAGTTGTTTTTCACCTTGCTTTCTTGTTTAATTTTTTGTGATTCGAAGTCATACTCTAAATAATTACAGTGTTTTAAAATTTGATGAGACTTCACGGCCCATTATGTGGTCAGTGTCTATGTCTACAGGTTATTTTTATTTCCTTTGTCCAAATTGTCTGTTTAAATTATTTTTGTCAGATTTTTCTACTAGATATTGAAAGGATATATTAAATCTCCCATAATACTTATAGATTTGCCTATTTGTTTGTTTAATTTTGTCTATTTTTATATATTTTAAAGCTATGATGGTGTTTTCCTCTATCCATATTTAAAATTGTGATATACTCCTACTGAATTATTTTATCATATGATGTGCTATTCCTTATCTGTCTTTGCTTCCAGGGCAATTTTGTCATGCTTTATTTTTCTTTTTGCTTTTGTATTCCAAAATAAGAAGGATTCAAAAGCCAGATTTCATTTTTTTATTCTAAGTGAAATAAGAAAATGTGAAAAATCAAGCAAATGTGAAATTTTAGCTATCATTCTGTGGTTAGATTTCATTTCAATGGTAACGTATATTTTGACTACATTGATCATTTCACCTTCCTCTTTATTCTTTCCTTAGTTTTTATCTCTCTTAGTATGAATCCAAATATCTTCTCTAATTTGGATTCTAATCATGGTTTCCTACATAATAGGAATACTAACTTGAGTAATACTTCAAGAGTATTGTAGGATCTTATAAGGTTAGTATTATTGAGTGTTAATTTTATACCAAGAACAATATTAAGTATATACACTTAATAATTATAACAGCACAACAAAATAGGAAATTATTACTATATGTATGGATGAATGAACTGAGCCACAGAACATTTTAGCAACTCCATCAAGATCACAAAGCATTGCTAAGCCAGGTATTAAACCAGTAGTCTGATTCCCGAATCATACTTTTTATGTGCACAGGTCTGCTCTCTAAATGGTTTGCTTCCTGAAGTATTAAAGGTTCATAAATTCAACTGTCAATGATTCTTTCATATATTTTAATGATAGACTAAAATACTTGCCTATGTACACTAGCATATACTTCACATTTAACTATTTCATTTATAGTTATTATACATGCATATTACTGTAAATATTTTCCATTTATACACACATACATACACACATATATACACAGAGACAATTTAAAATATGTGCAAGAATGGTTTCACTATACAAAGTTTTATTTGTAGATGTTGAATGTAAAATCCAACTCTAGTATTCAAATAGTCATTATGCCCTTGAATTAATTTCAAAAATATCATTCAGATGTGATATTTTTATTAACTTTTTGTCTTCTATTTGATTTCAAAGACTGATGGCTAAAGCATCAGGTGAGTGCTTATGCTCCTTTTTATGCTTCTATTCCTTTAAAAACTAAAAAAACATACAAAAAGATTTAGAAGAATACATGAAAGTGAATACCATATTAATTAATAGTAAAATCATCATACAGCATTAGATTACCATTCTCAAGAGCAGATAGCAAATAGTTAATTATTGATACTAAAATTATTACTCTAGCTTCCACATATGAGAGAAAGCACATGTTCTGAAGTGTTCATAACAGTTGCTCAGGATTTAGCAACTTATTGCTAAAGGAGGGTCTGAAGAACACTGCCCTTACTGTAGTAGAAGGGAATAGTAGTATATGGAGCAGAGATTGAAATATGGAAAAGTATAAACTGTGTTAGAATTAATGAGAGGATGAATGAGAAGAGGCTTAATTCCAGATCAAAATTTGTAAGTTATTTTATAGACTTTGAGGAATCTTTGATAGATTCAAGAAGAAAAAAGAACATAGGTAATGTAGTATTTAAGGTGACATTGTTTTGGTGGTTGTCCCAGATGGATAGAGGAAAAAAGACTTTAAATTAATAGATAAAATAAAAGCAAATTACTTAAGGAATCCATACTTCAATGATTATTCAGAACTTAACATAGAAAAGAGGAAAAACTGATACAGGGTTCCTCATTTGAGTAGACACCACCAAGGACCCAAGAGGGACTCTAGAAATGTTTCTGCATGGTTAGACAATGTCTTAATATCAAGAGAATAAGCTACTCTTTATTCTACCCTGATTTTTGCTTTATTATACTTCCACTGAATCAATTGACTGTGTAGAGTCAGGAATTCAGAGGATGCAACTAAGAAGTCATACACAGGATGCTTTTAGTTTGACATTAATGGGGTACATTTTGAGGTCACAATTATTTATATTTTGATAACTGATGGTTATTCAATTGATGTAAGAATAGCTTCTAGACTTATACCATACTTATGCCAATTCACTATGTCTGTCTTGACACAGACACCAAGATTCAAAAGTATGGAGACAATCATCAAACGTACAATTTTAAGAGGACAATTCAGTTCCAATTAATACCTAGTAAAAATGGAATTTTGCATTTGTCATGAATAATATCTTGACATTAGTGAAGATATCATAAAATTTATGTATTTAAAATAATAACAAACTAGTTTACAATGTCTCAATTCAGAGTATTTAATAATAATTGTATCACAATTAATTATATCAAAGGAAATTGACAGAATTTTTCTAAAGTTTGACAACAATCCCCCAAATTTATAGACATTAAAAGTCATAAGCAATGAACCTGAAATGACTTTTCTAATGTTTCAAAAACAAGTTAGAACTTTTAGTCAAACATGCTAGAGGGAAGACGGAATAATTTTTCTACTTTATTTGTACTGAAAATATTTCAAAATATGAAGAAAGAAAAAGTATTCAGCTAAAAAACTTATAAAATTAAAAGTATCATAGATCTCAGCAGCAGATAAAATGTGTTTTATGTTATCTTTTTTTTTTTTTTTTGGTGGTGGTATTGGGTTTGAACTCATGGCTTCATGCTTGCTAGGCAGGCACTTTACCACTTGAGCCACTGCACCAGCCTCTTTCTGCTTTTTATGATGTCTGTGTTATTTGTCAGATTTTCAAATTTATAACTTGTGATGCATACATGTAAATATGTGTGTATATATATATTTTCAGGCTTGATTGTTTCTAGTTTGTGTTGTTTTCCCTTGTACCTGAAACACAAGATCTTCCCTGTTTAGCATCTTTGTTGAAAATCAATTAGCCTTTGTT